AATCTGCTGGCCCCAACAAGCTTCATTTTATAGAATACAAAAGAAAAAGAGAAAAAAAGTGAACAAACTTTATAGCATATTCCAAAGGACCAGAAAAGGGAAGAGACTATTAATTACGTAAATGCCTTTATTGGAACTACTAGGTTGCTACCAGATTATATCACTTTTCAGAGTTAGAGTAACAGAATGATCTTAAAAACTAGAGCAAACAGCTTGACAAAGCAAGAGTACATAAGTCCTACATTTATATTTTTCCTTTTAGTGACCACATGTCCTTATTTTAGGTGTAACATTAAAAAATATATCGTACACACAGCATACACGGCCTACCAAATCCTGCCTAAGTTCTGAGCACACTCTCTCCTCAAAAGTGTCATAGTCACCAGCATTTTAAATTTAAAGAGAGAGTTTGGTGATGTAGGTTGTAACACAAACAAGCACGTATTGAATCAAGTAATTTAAGACAAAATATTTCAATTGTGTACAGCTTGGATGAGAGAGGGATGATGCAACTTCAAGTACATTTTTCTTCTACCTATTATGTATGATTTTACTTACTTGAAGACCCCTTAAAAAAAGTAGCAAAATCTGCAGTCCTGTTTAAGATAATCAAAATATTCTTAAATGTACAAAAAAGGATCACGTAGAAAGAATACTGTAAAAAGATACTGATTTTTAAGAATAAAAGAATAAGGAAAGTTTCTAATACATTCTGGACAGCCAGTGACCTTGGCAAATTTTCAGTACTACATCGATAAGCAAAGGATATGCATATCCAAATACCCTCCGATCATACTTCCTGAATAAGAACTAGCATATTGGATGGAAAGCAAACTTACTAATAATATTCGTATCTAATCATCGAAGCAAGTCCCAAGGGCGGGATATTCTAAGATGGAAGAAAAAGATACACACAGCCACAGGGAAGGTGAAGGGCAGTATCCTAGGAGAGAGTAAGACGGTTTGGCTATGAGCGCATTTCAGGTGTGCCTGACAATCCAACATTGACTGTGAGAAAGAGGAGTTATTTTTATTACAACTCGTTCCCCACAGAGCTCTCATGACGAGCTAGTCTTGTTAATCAAAAACAAAAGTCCTTTAAATGACCAAGAGTTTCTTAAGCCATGAGCACTTTGCCTGGAAATAGCCGACTTGCGAATCATGCACCTGGGACCAAGGTTATTTTATGCGGATTGACTATTTTACACTCTCTTCATGCCCCTGCCCATCAAACACGCAAACACGGTCATGACCATCTTGGGCTTTACTTCTACAAGGTCTTCAGGGAGCGCGTACACTCTGGCTCCGATTCTTCTAGCCATTGACACCGCATACCTATTTTTTGAGGAAACAAAAATTAAGATGAAATTCTTGGCAGTCAAGAACTTAGGACACATCTATTTCTGCTTACATAATCATTTGGCTAAGATATGAGGATTTTTTTTTAAAGAATTACTTAATATCATTTCATTTATTCATTCATATATTTTAATTTGACCAGAGAGACAGAGAGAGTGAAAGTAAGCCACCAGATCTGAGACTCGAACCGTAGTTAGCCATGTGGGAGTATCCAGTGCCTTAACCACCACACCATCTGCTGGTCTCAATCAGAAAGAATTTAATCTTTTTTTTTTTTTTTTAAATTTTCTATAGGGTGTGTGTACTTGCTGGAGAGAGGGTGGGGAGGGAATGAGAAAGCTGAGTGAAATGTATCAGGCTATGAAAGAGGAATACTATGTGTCTCTTTTTTTTTTTTTGAGAGAGATTTTTGCTATAGGGCACATGTGCTCGCCAGAGAGAAAGTGAGATATCACCCCCTGGGGAGGATGGCCACAGCGCAATCCCTTCTCTTCCATTCTTCTCTCAGGATTTTGGGCATGCACGCCAGGCCTAGGACTCTAACATGGACAGTCCATCATTTGGGAGTCCAGCGCTCCGATCACTACGCCACCTGCTGGCCTCTATGTGTCTCTGTTTAACAAATACTGAGGGTCCTCGCTCAATAATGGAAGCTGAAAGATGTGATAGAAGTAGAGAGACTAACAGCAGATACTAGAAACTACACAGATTAGGAGGTAGAGGAGTTCAGGAGAAATTGACCAACGGATAACAAGCGTACATATAAACGAATGGAATAGGTTCTAGAATGGTGTACACTGTAGATCAAGGAAGAAACAAATGTGCCTAAATCCAGTCTTGCAAAAATGCTACCTAGCTTTGCCATGGGCTAATTCTCAGTATATATTAGCAAAGTGTTCATGGGTCTCCCATAAAAGCAGGTCAAAGTCTAGCCTTTCGGTGAAAAGGAAGAAGACAGATGGAAAAAACTTTCTAAGATTATTGAAATACAAGAAACTGGGGCCAGCAAGTGGTATGGTGGTTAAGGTGGCTGAATTTTCACAAGGTTGACCACAGTTCAAGTCCCAGACCCAGTGGCTTAAAAATTACACTGAATGTGTGTATGTGCGTGCCCAAAATCCTGAGAGGAGAATGGAGGAGAAGGGCTTGCGGCATGGGCCTCCCCTCTAGGGGGTGATTTCTCTCATTTTTCCCTCTCTCCTCTCTGGTGAGTGCACACGCCCTGGGGCGAACAGCTAAACAAAACAAAACAGAAATGAAATACCAAAAAACGTTTAAGGCATAGTTTTCTGTTGAAGGCTAGCAAAGATCTTGCCAATTTGGGGACCAAGAAAGGTAAACTCAACATATGCAGTAAGTAAGTATAGGAAAAGAAATCTAAGTGAATAATGTGTTTAGAAAAAATAAGAAGAGTGAGGGCTGGCTCAGGGCACGCTGGTAATGCACTGCTCAAGGGAAGCTGCGTCCAGAGGATTATGGTTCTGTTCTCTGGTCACCCTGTACATGTTGGGTGCATACACCCATGGTCCTGGCTGGCTGGGAAGGCGAGGCAGGGGTATTGTATCATGAGACCCTACTGAAGGTGTTTCTTTTCCTCTCTGTGTTTCACTTTTGTGGAAGAAATAAACTTTGAAATTTTATTATTTATTCATTTATTTTAATTTGACCAGAGAGAGACGGGGGTGGGGGCGGGGGAAGCAAGCCAACAGGTCCAGGAGTCGAACCGTGGTCGGCCATATGGGAGTGTCCAGCACCTTAACCACCACACTACCTGCTGGTCCCAGAAGAAATAAACTTTAAAAAAAAGTGCAACAGACAAGCATTCTAAAGTACGACTATCCTTAGCTCATTTTTTCCTTGTATATTTGTACTTGATTTGCATCAAGACATTAGTTCTGTAATCTACTAAAGCAACACCGATTGAATACCTCGTAGGTCAGGCACAATGCCAGGCTCTTTACAATTTTTTTTCCCCATCCAATCTTTACAAAACCTCTAAGGTAAGTATTACTGCCCCCATTTTATTGATGAGCAATCTGAGGCTAAAAGGGATTTCAAGGTGACATGACCATTAAAAAAAGTTTGTTTATTTCTTCCAGGAGAGAGGAAGAAGGAGAGTGAGAGACAGAGAGAGAACACCTCCCGGGGGGTCTCAAAGCTGTGATCCAACCCTAGCTTTACACAGCCCAGGATCATAGTGTACTCAGAGAGGTTTCTGGATATGAACTTGGAATCTTCCAATGTGGTCTAGTCTCACAGAGCATTACATTTTACTACTGCACTACCACCTGGCCTACTGATACCATCGTTAAATGGCGGAACCTGGATTCGAATTCAGAGCTGGGGGCCAGCCAGCAGGTGGCATGACGGTAGGGGCACTGGAGTCCCACACGGCCAACCACAGTTTGAGTACTCGACCCGGTGGCTTTCTTTCTCACTTTGTTTCTCACTTTCCCAATCTCTCTGTCTCTCTCTAGTGAATTAAATAATAATAAATAAAATGGAATAAATAATTCTTTAAAAAATTTCATATCTGTCTGGCTGCAAAGCCTGTGTTCTTTTGACGATAGTAAAGTCTCCCTTACTTGGCATTATTATGCTTGTCATCTTCTGTGAGATTGCCGCTCTTGACTAAGTCATAGTTTATGCAGCCCGGCTGGATGGCATCAATTAAATCCACAACTGCCAAACTGGAGCTGATCGTCTTGTCCTAGGTGTAAAAAAAAGAACAAATCAGAGAATTTCAGCACTACAAATGAACGTGTTTATGTCTATAAAGTGGCCAAAACAAAGCACAGTGAATTAAGCGTTTTGCTCTGAACCCAACAATAATTCTCACTCACAAAGAAATCAGCGTTGTTCTTTCAAATTACAGATAGCAATGTAGCAAACATAGTGTCTGATAGCTGGGTATGGATTCTGACCTTAAAACTCTGAATGGATGTTGATTTTCCAGCTTCACTCAATGTTCTGTTCACCCAGTTGACAATGATGTCATCATTAGCTTTCTGACCCTCTCCGAGATTCTCCAGGACATTGAGGGTATATCTAAGAGAAGCAGCAGGGGAAACAGTCACAATCCATGTATGAGGAGTAATGCAGATGTCAGTATGATGCCTTGTCTCCCATTTCTTTTATTCCTTAGTTTGGAAAGACTAAAGAGTTCACGGAAAAAGATTCACACTATGTGAAGTAAATATTTGCAAGTAGTAGTGGCTGGCCACTGATCTCCTTTATGCAGTGGTAGGGGCCAAATGTATGATGCTTTAACAAGCAAGCCCAGCAGTCGAGTGTGGGCATGTTTTGCACTACTCCCACAGTGGTGATGACTTCAAATAAGCTGTGTTCTGGCTGGTACTCAGTCTCATGAATGCTTTGCAACATGATGGGTAAGAAATCTTCATTTTTGTGGGCCAGCAGATGGCGTAATGGCTATATTGCTGGACTCTCATGTAGTCGACCGCGGTTTGAGTCCCAGACCGGGTGGCTTAAACTCATGCCGGGTGCATATTCGTGCGTGCCCAAGTTCCCAAGAGGAGAATGGAGGAGAAGGGATTGTGGCGTGGCCATCCCCCCTGCGGGGTGATTTCTCGCTTTCTGTCTCTATTTCTCTCTCTGTCTTTCTGGTGTGCACACGTGCCCTATAACAAAAAACCTCTCCAAAAAAAAAAAAAAAAAGAGATCTTCATTTTCAAATGAAGACATGGGAGTAGTCACATTTCTTTTTTCTGAGAGCTTTTTAGTCACCGACACTCAATTAGGTTTGAATCTATGGCATTAGGCTTTCTACAGGAAAAGGAGTATTGACAGTTTGGCCTAACTTACAAGGAGACGTTGTCTACTGAATATCCAACATTCAAAGGGATTTCAAAAAGTGTGTGGAAAATGAAATGAAAGTGTGTGCTCATTTTGGTGCAAACAATTTTGAATTCTATGCCTATGTATTTTCATAATAGACATTGCCTTTTTTTTTTTTTAAAAAGAATTATTTATTTATTTAATTCCATTCGTTATTATTGTTTTTTAATTTGATCAGAGAGACAGAGAGAGAAAGAAAGAAAGGGAGAGTGAGAAAGCAAGTCACCAGGTCCGGGACTTGAACCGTGGTTGGCCCTGTGGGAATCCGGTGTCCTTAATCATCACACCCACTGCTGGCCCATAAGAGACATTTTCTTTTTCTCTTTAAATTATTTCTTAATTTTATTTGTTATTATTATTAATTTTTAAATTTTGTTTAATTAGACCAGACAGAGAGAGAGAGACAAGGGTAAAGTAAGAAAGCAAGCCAGCAGGTCCGGGGCTTGAACCACAGTTGGTCATGTGGACATCCAGCACTTTAACCACTGCACTCATTGACATATTTGTTTATTAAGAATAATAAAGATGGGGCTGGCTCCGTAGCCTGGTGGTTGAGGCAGCCTCCCCCAAAAATGACTCTGTGCTTTGAGATCCGGACCCAGTGTCAAAAACACACTGGGTGGGTGTATGTGCATTCCCAAAATCCTGAGAGGAGAGTAGAGGAGATGGGATTGCAGTGTGGCCGACGCCCCTACGGGTAATTTTTTATTTCCCCTGCCCCTCCTGGAAATATGTACCCTATAGCAAAAATCTAAACAAACAAACAAGCAAACAAGAAGTCCTGACAGGATGGAGAGATGGAGGAGAGTGGGACTTCAGTGTGACCATTCCTCATGGGGGTACTTTCTGCCCCACCCATGTCTCTCTCTTTGGTGAGTACATGTGCCTTCTGGCAAATGAAAAATATTGCATAGTGAGGATGAAACGAAAGACTTGCATTCTAGTGAGCTTAACCAGCTATAGTTGTGTACTATACCTTCTCATCAGCTGCCAGACTAAAGCTAAAGTCAAGGTTGGGTTCCCATCATTCAGGTCTTGCCCTCCAATGCCAACTAGGGAGAATTTAGCAGGATGCTTCCCTAATTCAACAGCATAGTTGCAGTTTTCTAGCTGTAAACACACAAAAGTAAATGGTTAAAGACTGTCATTTGTGGGACCAGCAGATGGCGTAATGGCTACGTTGCTGGACTCCCATGTAGTCGACCGTAGTTTGAGTCCTGGATCCAGTGGCTTAAACCCACGC